CCCTGGTACCTGGCTGAGGGGCTGCTTGCGGCTGTTGCACAGGAGGGTCAGCCACCAGGGGAGGAGGCTGCGCTTTCGGGTGTGGCGTCTGTCCAGTCTGGGGCTGTGGCTGGCCTCCGGCTGAGTGCAAGACTAGGGCGGTAAGCGAAGGCGGTGGCGAGACTGTAGGCGCCTTAGCGGGTGGCTGTCCGCTCGCCTGAGTCTGGGCTGGGGCCGGCTGGGGCATTGCCTTCACTGGTGTGACCTGCGTGGGCAAGCCTCGTCCCTTCTTGCCCTGGCCCTTGGTCTGCGCTTTACTGATCGGCTGTGTCGCCTGAGTCTGTGCGTCCGCGGCTGAGGCTGTGGCTGCCGTAACCTGTGTCACCTGAGTGGGCTGAGCCAAGACTATGACTGGGGCTGACGGCGCGGTTCCAAAGGAGGCCTCAGTCTGATCCGCCCAAGAGCGGACTGCAGAAGGCTGTTCCTGACTAGTGCTGGCTGTAGCGTCCTGGGCATCCTCCGAGGAGGAAGTGCTGGCCAAGTGCCAACTTGCTGTGCCGAGGCCTGTGTCGACTACCAGCGTCTGTCCTTCGGCTTCTGCAAGTCTGACGCGGCCGGACCAGTCCACGATCTGCTCCAAACGTCCCTGGAGGTCGGCTGGGAGGTTCGACAAGGCCTCGACTAAGACGTCTGCATCCAGACTGACGAGACTCACCCACAACTCCTCTGCAGCGTGCACTCTGTCCACCCACGGCTGCTCCTCTGTGGCTTCGGCTGCGGCTGAAGCGGCCATGTCTGAGTGCACTGAGAGAGGACTAGTCTGAAAAATTCTTGGCACTTTGAGCCAAAATGGACGTCGGTAGTCGTTAATGCTTGATGCGAGCATACATGGCATAAACATCTTGGGGTGGTGCAAGCACGAGAAGGCTCTATTAGAGCCGAAGTCAAGGGTCGCTGCGCCGCAGCTTGGGGCGCCTTCCGGGAAGGAAGAACGCGCATCTTCAGATGCAAACGGGTAGCGGTGAGCAAGCGCGGCACTCTCCTCAATACCCTCGTCCTCAGCCGTCTCCTCTTTGGGTCAGGCGCTTGGCCCCCTCTGAATGCAGGCACCCGCCAGACCTTCTCGGGAACTGTCTTCTCTCTGTACCGTGCGGTTCTTGGACTGAAGCCATCCGATGATCAACACATCTCCGTTGCCACTCTGTGTACCCTGTTGGATCTCCCCGATGCGGATTCCCTCATCCGAGTTGAGCAACTCCGGTACCTGCAACAGCTCTGTCGCTCCGGGCCGGATGAATTGTGGGCCTTGATTCGTTGTGACATCCCATTTCTCGGGGTCCTACGTGAGGCCCTGGACTGGCTCTACGTTCGTGTTAAAGCCACTTCTCCGCTCCCCGACCCCAGTACTCACTGGGATGTTTGGTGCGATTTCATTTGCGGTCGGCCTTCACTTTTCAAGGGACTCATCAAGCGGGCCCGGGGTCTTGAGTTGTGTCGGGCTAAGTGCTTCGCTGCGTTGCAGGCCCTGCACCGCATCGTCAAACAGGCATGCTTGGGCACCGACATTGCGGAGGTGAGCGAAGGGGCCTCCTGTGTGGAGGCCTGCCTCATTTGCCGCAAAGGATTTACAAGTCGGGCCGCTTGGGCCTGCCATTCCTCAAAGAAGCACGGCTACCGCATCAGTGCTTCCCTGCTCATCGGTGACAAGCGGGACACCATTTGTGAGGGGTGTGGAAAGCAGTTCGCCAATAAGGCAAGGCTGCGGCGACACCTCCTGCATGCCAGCATTTGTAGGGCGACTTGGGGCTCGTTCCAGCCTGCAGAGCAGGGCAATCTTGCCGCACCCAACCCCGCTGAACCACCTACATGGGTTGAGGGGCATACCAGCCCACGAGCAGATCAGCTGGACCCGGCCGGGTACAATCGTGGCCTCCTGGAGGCTCTGTGTGGGCTTTCCTCGCCCACTCCCGAACAGGCTTGGGCATGTGTTGTCGACTTTGTCGAGCCCCTGGACATCCTAAGAGCTACCCTCCGCCGATGGAAGGAGTTGCATGGAGACAAGCCAGGTGTTGCAGATGCTTCCGAGGATGCAATTCTCATGCTCGACCCGGTGCTCTGCTGTGATACATTCTGCAAACCCAAGCCGACCCCGCGCTTAGCAGAGTGTTTTGCAGACCTCCAAGGGCCATTCGCCTCCACCATCCCTTTTGTCCTTTCTGGGAGTTGGGCCACCTTCACGTTGGATCCACCACCAGTCGGAGCTTTCTGTTACCCCTTCATCGGAGGTGTGCCTTTAGCTGGTGCCAAGAGGCAGTCCTGCTACCTCGAGGCTGTTTGCGACGTGCTAGGGGCGGCTGTACAGCAATCTGCTGCCACCAGAGTGCGAATCGTAGCCACCAGGAATACCCTGGTGGCCCTCGAGCCTGCGTCTACTTGGCTTATGTCAGTCGGGTTCATCCAATGTGCAGATGGATTACGGAGCCCGGACGACTAGTTTCACTTTGAATTTAGATCATGCATTAGGCGCGACCTACGGTCTCTCAGCCTGCGGAATGAAAATGTATGTAATGCTTCGTTCGCCTCCCGACTGAAGCGGTCAGAGGTTCCTTCTTTCTTCTCGTCCCCTCTCCCTAGTGACCGACCCCGCCCCCTCTAAATTGGATTTTGCCAGGCCCTCTTCCACCTGACTCGTGCACGTGTGTCTGAATCTTCCAAGTGGGACTTGATTTGCAAACCAGGTTCATTTACGAAAAAGTTGGAATGTCTAGTCTAGTCTTCACTTGCGGCCAGGCCGAGGCGGACGGCGCGAAGCGTTCTAGATTAATTGCTTCCTTACTGTCTGTGCTTACGTGTGTATATGTATGTACGTAAGTATGCGTTCTCTTATATACATACAGACAGACATACATACATGCATGCATGTATGTATCTATGCATGTACGTATGTATGTATGTATCTATACAAAATGCATGCACACATGCATAAAACACATATACAGTCATACATCCAAACATCCAAAACCCCATACACCCATACATAGTCTATACGTCCATACATACATCCATACATACAAACCTACCTCCTTACATACATACGTATGTGTATATACATATCTATGCTATGAACATGTACATGTGATACATGTGTATATATATATATACACATACGTAACTTGCATTTATGCGGCCGTGCCTTGATGCTTGTGTACATGAATGCAAGCAAGGATGAATGCATGCCTGCATACGGATGTATGACATGCATAAGAATGTGACATACCACATATTATTCGTCACGTGTTGCACCATCCTCACACTTCCGCGACTTGTCTGTCTTCCGCAGACCATCTGCGCCCTTCCCCACCCAGATCGAGACAGACTCCCATTTCGAACCTTTTGTGTCCTGCTCAGGTCTCCTATCAAGAAACGGCTAAAACAAAGATGCTGTGCTACAACTGTAAAGAATGGAATTAACATGTAGCTCTGTTCTGCCTACTGCTACCAACCCATCTGTCTCGCCCACCCCCTACCTATGCACCTACCTTCCTACCCTGCCTGCCTACCTACCTTCCTGCCCACCTGTCTTTCTGTCTTTCTGCCTACCTACCTATCCATCGATCCGTCTAACTGGTCGCAATCTGTCCGCTGTTCAACCTTCTGTCTATCGATCTGTCTATCGACCATCTACTAAGTACGCACCTACGCTCGCTGCACCAGCATCAGTCGGAGCCTTCGCCATTTTGTCACTGCGTGTGCTCGGTGTGCTTTCTTTGGAACATTTATGCGCCAAGCCGGGATGCAAACAGGACGGGTGTGTGGGTCGAGAAATTCGTCCGAGCGTCGCCGTCGCATGCACGTTTCGACTTCTCATGGTTGGCCACGTGACATACGTCTGTCAGTTTGTTTTTGCATCCTTGCATCTTTGTGCACGTAAGTGAACGTGCATGTGCCTTCAACTGCGCGCAATATATGTGCGATGTGTGTATGTATCTGTAAGTGTACATACATACACACAAACACATAGACAAACACGAACCCTCAACTGCTGATGCAGACATGTGGGCAGGGGTTTTGGCAGCAGACATGTACACAGCAGGGCGGCCGTCCAAGCCCAAGAGATCCGAACCCCCCCTTCGCGGGGAACAAGCGCCGATTGGCGCACACCATACTGGATATCACCAGAAGAACATGTGCTCCATGCCACCCATCGGGGCGGGCGGGCGGGCAAAATTTCAGCAGCTTGACCTGAAGCAGTGGATGCATCTGAACACACACGCGCCACCTGGCAAATAAGCTGCAAGCACAGGACATGCAAGGCTGCAGTGATCAACGAGGGTTACGTGTGTGCCTTGGCCTAGCCCACCAAACCCCAGGGCAAACATCCCAAGACAGACAGAGAGACAGATAGATCGATAGACAGCTAGCTAGATAGAGAGCTAGATAGCTCGATAGCTGGAAAAAGATACAGATGTAGAGAAACTCATGTATTCGGTAAAAGATGTATGCACACAAAGTGTGAATTCTTGCATGCATGCATGCACATTTGCATTTTGTGTGTCGGTGAGTGCTGATTATACATGCGTGCGTGCATCTCAATGTTGCGCATCTCTGTGCCTGCGCGTATATGTTCACACACGTGTGCCATGCAGTCGCGGCGATGTGCCTTCGCTTATGAGTTTTGTTTCGGATGTGCACGGCCGGTGTAAGTGTACATGCGTTTGTGATAGCTAAGTCTTCGCATACCCACTGCATGCTTTTCCTGTGCAGTGAGAGATGCAACCGAAAATGCCACGTGCTGTCTAACAGGGACCAACTTTCATGATAACCTTGCCGCAATCATAGGCTAAATATACATGCTGACGCAATTTAACACGGTAGCTAAAGACTTGAGTGATGGTTATCGTGCCACGATGTTGCCCATGTCAGGATATTGCTTAAGCCTACGAGTACTATGGCTTAGTCAAATTTTGCTCTGCCCTTGCGCAACTTGCAGACCTGATACCCCGAAACCCAAATCAAGCCGCCTCTGGCACATCGACGGCCTGCGATTGCAAGGTGGGCTGGAGCAAGGATACGAAAACACTCGACTCTCTCCTCTGGTGTCCGAGGCAATTCAATTAAATCGCGATGCAGCCTCCAGCACGGGCTCTTCCTCCACCTCCAATGGCTCCTCCGCTGCTTCCTCTTCCTGCCTTGAACAGGCTCAACGATTTCGATCTCTGTTTGCTTCGGTGGGTCCGGAAGCTTTCGCCGGCCTCTGCGGCAGCGCTTCAGGCGTCTCCTCCGTCTCCTCCGTCATGGCTGCAGGAGACTCTGCTTTGTCAGAGTCATCCGCCTGGGATCTGCAGTAGCAACCACCATGAGAACAGTAGCAGCGCCATGACTAGCACTACTATAATGATTCAGCGACTGCTGGAAGCAGCAACGACCAACGATGCTGACACTAGTGCACACCAAAAAGGACAACAAGTCCAGTAGATATGATTCCAAGGCTGCGGCCATTCCTAGGGCCGCCTGCGCAGATTGCCACCAATCCTCACCGCCCTGCAACAGTGACTTGTTTATGTAAGGTTTCCACAAACATTTCTTTCTGTCTAACCCTCGGCAACCTCCACCTCGACAGGAGGGTCCTTGTTGTCCTCATCCTCATCAGATCCTCAGTGGCTGGTGGTTCAGAAGGAGGAGGGGGAGCAGGTTTCCTTTCGCAGTCTTTCAGCGAGGCGCGGCCGCTTCCAGTGCCAAGCACGGCTGCAACCACCGAAGTCTTGACGGAAGCCAGGATGTTCAAGATGCCTACAATCTCAGAAAGCTATTCGCGACCGTCCGTCTGCTCGTGTCGGCCTTTTGTCGCATCCTCATCCTCGTGACCCTCCTCACTTGACATGGCCTGCACCTGGAGCTCCAAACCATTTCAAGGCGATGCAGATGCTGCGGCACTGCCTCCTCGCTTGGAGGTTTCCGCTGCCTGAGGCTTCGATCTCTGCTTCCATCAGGCTAAATGCTGTCCCGAGGCCTGATGAGCTCTACATGGGATGACGGCCCATTGACCAGGCCATCCCACCACTCTGACGTTGTCCTGCAGCTTGATGGATGCTGTGAATTTCTTGGCCGATCTTCGAATCTCCTTCTCCATGAAGCTTCATGCTGCGTCGTCTCCTCGGAGTCAGGAAGTCGGCGGGGATGCGCAGGAGCACAAGTGCACCATTCCATGCAATGGGACCTTCAGCAACCACTGCTTCAAGTCGTCGTGGTCCGTCTTTCGTCCCTTCACCTACAAGACGTCCGACCGTCAATTGACGGGTTGATCAGAGATGATCAGATATGTACGCGTTGCAGGAAGTGGGCAACCATGAACTGCCAATGAAATCATGCTTGCAGCTTAGGGGTAGAAGGGCATGGGAAAAGACTGGAGCTGTCCTTTTCTCACAAGCAGTCTCTCGTCGCAATACAGACGAAACATCAATCGTGCACCGAAAGCCTTCTGCGCTTTGCTTTTTTTGCCTGATTGCCTGATTTGCAAGGGGGAGTGTGCACGCACTGCACACAGCAATGCAACATCCACAAGAGCTGTGCAGGGCCTGCGCTCTGCGACATCACTCCTGCATGCCCACTGCTTTGACTTTGCGCAAGTTGCACCGTCAATGTCTTAAACAAGCATGACAAACCATAACAACGCTGCTGCCCACCCTTCGAAAAGGCCGAAGAAGGCCAGGGCGACCAAGCCGTTCCGACCCCAACCTCCAGCCAGCTTCGAAATGATGAACTCTCTTACTGGCTCGTCACTACACTTCTCTGTGTCGTCCTGATCGCTTCGGAGCCGCGGCAGCTACCGGACCTGCCAACACGGGCCGTGTGGAGTCTTTGGAATGTCTGCGCAGCTAGCCTTGGATGGCCGAAGCACCAGCAAGTGGAGCCCATCTGACAGATCAGAGCCGCTCGCAGCATCTCCGACTCAGAGTTTGCTGCCTCCTCCTTGGGCTCCCCGGGCCATGGCCGGCCTTGCAGAATAGGACGTGAGGTGGCCGAGGGCCGAGGGGAGCAAACCCGAGGACCACACCACGCTGAAGCCTTCGGAGGCCGAGCCAACGCAGACGCAGCTGCCAACGGCTACAACCTGAGAATCCGAGCCAAGGCATCGCAGCACCTGCGACTCACGTCTCTGTTCCGTTCAGCTTCCGGCCCATCGGCCGCCTCTTCTGCGTTCTCTTCGCCTGCAAATCGTTGTTGAGCGGGATCAATGCCTCAAGAAACGGGCCCTGCGAGTGCCTGCGACCCCGTAGGATCTGCCATCGGGCGTCTGTTTCAGCCTCAGCATGGCACCGGCTACCAGCACAGACTCAGCGTAGAGACAGCTAGTGCCTCCATGGGCTCCATGGCCTTGCCTCCCAAGTTGCTTGTGTTTTCATAACCATGACATCATCTAAGTGCCATCGAAACCCAGCGACACGATGGGGCTTCTGGCTAAAATCTCGCTCGAAATGTGTTTTCAGCCTCACATCTTCCGGCAAGATGAAGAAAGCCCAGCTGGTCCAAAGAAATGGACGGACCGACAGAACGTCTGTGCAGGCTGCCTCTCGTCAACTATCCGGCTTCCCGGGTCGACATGTTAGTTTTATGTCGGCATGCGCTGGTTTAGGCATGTCAAACGGCCCCTGAACCGAGACTGTAGACCGACAGATCGCGACATTCATTCTCAGTACAAGAAAGGCTATAGCAAGCCGTCACCTTACGTTTCATAGGCAGGGTCTGCAGAGCTCGTCATGTTCAGGATGGCTTCCGTTTCCAGAATCGCCAGCCAGAATGATGCTAAGGCACGTCATACAAGAATGCAGACCTCGACCCATCCCGCCTGCTCAGGCAGGTCGCCAGCCCGGTTTTGAACAGCTGAGGATCACACAGCAATATGATGCAAGAAGTGATTCTGCAAGTGTCTACTGCATTTCAGTTTTTGCGTGGCAGGAACCCTGGCACTCTTCGCTGCTAAGGTTTTGATCAATGAAGCGCAGTTCACATCACACTCGGCCAGGCAGTGTAGCACTGGTGGAGAAGCTAGGAAAGTCTCCTACCTACACTGGCTAGACGGTCTGTTGAAAGAATTTACGGAGGCATCGCTGAGGCCACGAGCATGATCTGCACTAAACTATGGACTCTCTGGCTGGCCCTAAGTACTCTGCTAAGTCTCTTCAAAGGTCCAGCAGCTGCCTCTGGGCGCGCACTTTCGTTTCAGTTTCTGTGCGCTCACCTGATGCAGGATCCATGCGGATATTTCACATCCTGGGAGACTGCACAGTGTTGCATGCCCACGTTTGTGCGCATCAGGCCCTCTGTGCAAGCCGGTGGTGGACTTGATTTGACTCTAAATGGCGTGGCGCTGTTTCGCAAGTGGTCCATCTGCTGTCCAGTCTTAATACTGGCAGCAGGGACCAGACATACCGTGGCATACCTGCTGAAGGTATGGACTTGCAAACAAGGCAGATTCGAGCATTTACTGTTTCTGCCTTGCTGCAGCAACCACCTCTATCTTGCAACTTGAAGCAGGATCTGTCTATAGAGAACTACATATACGGTATCTTGAAGTTACAAGACAGAGGAGCTTAGGGCAAAGCTTCGGATGAAGCTTACTTTACTGTAGGCACAAGGCCCTCTGCCATGGCCCGACGAAGTCAAGTACGCGAAGAAGTTCCAATATACACTTAATACATGTATATAAATCTATGTATAAACATATGTGTACATAACTATATATATATACGTATATGTATGTAAATGTATGTAAATGTATACAAATATTTATGTATATTTTGTCTTTATCATTGGCAAAGTATTGGAGGGCTCCGATGCCGCGCAAGAAGAAAAACAGGCAATATGAGCCACACGGCTCCATCATGTCCTTTGACATAGGACCCGGCTCGCCAAAAGCCTCGCGAAGCTTGGTAAGCACTGTCCAGACTAGTTGTTGCCCGGATTCTCCCGCCTGCATTGTTAGCATCGATTCGACAGGCCCGGAACCTTGAGTGCAAGGCATTCGACTTGAGATGTTCGGATTCAATGCAGCCGTCTGGGATCCGCCACATCACCAGGGGCACTCTTGCCCGAGGCTCGCGAATCTACCGCGCTGTTTGGACCTGAGAGAATTCAGGAGTAAAAAAACTGTTCCCGAGTAATTCATGCGTCGTAGACCCCCTGACGGTCCCGACTCATGTCGAACTTCAAGCTGCCAGACTGGTCTATCACCCCGGAGTGCGTGGAGTGCTTTACATCACCTCAGCCACAGACTCAGTAAAGCCGGAGCCAACGGACAACGTCCACTTAGATCCCCGCGTCTGGAACTTCTTCTTTTCATTCGAGGTTCCATGCTTCTTGGCTCCTTGCGACAAAACGACAGTTCATCGGAAGTCACGTGGGTGTGCTGAGCATGGTTGTCGGGCGAACGTGGAGCTGAGGGCAGCATAATGGCAATGATGCCATGCACTACCAGAGAAACAAACTGCTTGCTTTCAATGTCCCATTCGCCTCTTCTTCCTGATCGAGCTTTTCGTCGCCCTCTGAGAAGAAGATGTTGGAACTGCTAATGTCTCCTGAGGCCGTGGTGCAGCAGCAGATACCCAGGTGTGGAGTGAGCAACACAACTGTGGCAGCCTCCGTTCTTTACTATGAGTCTCTTCAGGAGGTCGTCGATGCCGTGCTGCACCTGGCTTTGCCACAGGCTTCCACTAACTCACCGCATTGTAGTGATTCAGCAAAGCAAAGAACATGCCATCGGGGCCGTCGAATCACGCTTTTGGCGCATTTGTTGCGTGAGTGATCTGGCTTTGTGGGCGTTCTTACCTCGGACAGGAGGGCAAGCACATGGACGAGACACAGGCTTTAGGCGCCAATCGATGCGCAAGAATCTACGTCTTTGGACACACACACACACACACACACGCTGCCTGACACACACAGAATCACACTTTGCTATCCCAGGCAACAAGTCACAGTTTTGCATCACTGGCAACGAATCACGCTTTACTGATCCCTTGCCTTGCAACTATTCAGATTGTTTAGTGACGCACGGCCACTTCAAAGTGCGTTGATTTCTACAGCTGCAGGATGACATCCTCAGCAAACCATGGCGGGCACCACGGACACCCGCTTTTTGGTCTTAGACCCTGCAGCTGTCGCTGCAGCCTCGGCCTTTGAATGGTCGGCTTCCCAGCAACGGAGCCATCTGTGCTTCGCTTTGCCAAAATGTTTCGAGCCACTTGCCGAAGAGCAAGTGCATGGGACAGATACATCTGTCCCATGCACAGCAATGGCATACACCCAATGGTCTCCGTGTACGACTTCGTAAATCCACGACCGCCATGTGGAATTTGCCTGCCACAACTCAGGCGAAACCATGACACCTCTTACTGGTTCTTAGTCACGATGCAGTCTGCATTGACAGATCCCTTACAGTTTACGCTGTTGTAGATAATTCGGAAACTTTGGGCGGCTTAGCTGCTGCATAGCAGCGGCAATACCGGAAGTGGACATGATGCTGCTGTGGTCCACTGCGGCCAAAGCTCCTCTCGAACTAGTTCAAGAGAGTTGCTGCAACTGCGGCACGTGGGGTGAGAGCCGTGGCATTTGGTTCTCGTGAGCTCGGGCTCACCTGCGCACTTGGTGCTGCCCAGGAATAACGAATCCGATTATGCTTCGACATGAGCAGGTGCAGAGCCTGCTCCACCTCCCAGCTAGGACGGAACCGGTCGCTGCACAACTGGACGTGGAGGCAATTGTGGGGGAGCAGGCCAGGGTAGCAGCCGTCCATGTGGAGAAGGCGGCCGCTGCCGAGGCCGTGGAGCAGACCGTGCAGCAGCTAAGGCAAAGGAACGGCGGATGTTTGCCGGGTCGAGCTCAAGGTGGACGAGGACAGATCCCAAGTGATCGTCAGCGACGAGGAGCTTTGGAGGGGCGCCGAGATGATGCAGGAGCACTTCGACGAGGAGTGTCTGTTCGGCATGCACCGAACCACAGACCGTTTCGGGAACCACGCGCGCACTGCCACTACTCAAGGGTCGAAGGGCTGGCAAGCCGTTGGATGTGTAGGGCAAATTCATCGGCTTTAGCCCCGTTTGGAGATGTTTGTGCAAACCCCCACGGGTGAAAAGGCTGCCCAGTGGGTCGGCATCAAAGAAGCTGTTAATGTTAGAGCTGCGGTTATACCTGCTCTTCGGACGTTCCGGAATCTTCCGAACGTCGCTCACATCGCGGTCTTTCCAACCTTGATTCAGGATGTGGAGAAGGAGCAGCAACCTGGCGAGCAACGACATGCCGTGTTTCATCCTCGCAATGATACACAGACTGCCGTGCGTGAGCGAAACGGCATTCTTGAGCAGATGCCAGCTCATCATGTTTCCGCTTTGGTCTCTGTCCCACGGGCGACTGCAGCACGTGAGCAGATGGGTAGCAGTAGGAGAGCAGAAGAGCAGGAGGAGGTCAAGAGATGAACAGCACCACACAATGCGACGCTGATCATGGCGACCAAAACAAAATCGAGCCCAGGCCAATCGATAGACGAAGTCAGACAAGTACTGCAGGAGCCCATTCTAATCAACGGTCTGGGCGAGTTGCGCAACAACGGGTCGAACTCGTTGGCATCAGGAAGTTTCACAACCTTCTCGGCCACGAATTCGTGGCGCAACGCCTGCATCTTTGGCTCAGAACTCCAAGGAAGCCAAAGCGATCAGCGGGCCTCTGCGGCTGTTGGCCGCTGCTTGGCGGAGCGCTTCAGCAACATCTGGCATTGGTTCAAGGGCGCAGAGCAATCAAAACGACAAGAAACTTCCCTCGAAAGCCTCAGAAAGGGCTCAGGGACCCTTAAGGTTTCACTTACGCATCGAGATTCGCTGCCTTCGTGAAGTCTAACGCCCCCACCAATGAGCCGGAGACCTGGAGTCCCAATGCCGAGGATTCAGCGAAAGCATGTTCGTGTTCTGAGTATCTTAGAATCTTGGTTTCTGGCGACACCCTGGGCATCACCTGCGGAGCAATGAAGAGACTTGGCAGCTTCAAATATTCTGAAAATGAGAGTGAGCGAATCATCCAATGCAATGCTGGTTCTCGGTCAATGGCTCAGAGCAGGAAAATGGAGAGGCGGATGATCCTGGCAGGATCACCCACTGTACAGATTGATGTGTACTTCATCGTCCAGTTCCACGTGCCTCGATAATGGCCTTCTTCATCGCCGGTGCACTCGCCTGTAATTCGCGTGTCTTCTCGAAGCTTAGCACGACACCAGAGCCCGACAGGAGCAGGCGGCCCTCCAATTATGAAGACTTGTCACTAGCTCGCTGAGCCAGGAAGGTCTGAGTTATTGACATGACATCTCAATCCGGAATTCATGCGAAAAAGGAAAACAGCTTTGCTTCTCCACCTCGGAAGGCGAGTACGGAAAGCTTCCGAAGACCAGGAGGTAAGCCACGGAGCCTGAAAAACGATTAAACTGAAGAAGAAGGCAGCATGGCAGCCTCACAGCTCAAAAAAAGTCGCGCCTATGGACCAGACATCTGCCAAGAAGTCGTAGCCTTCGTTCCGCAGCATTTCTGGAGCCATGTATGGTGCCGTGCCTCGCAGGAGGTACAAGCTTTGCCATGCTGCGCTTGCTCCGGCAGCATGACACAGTGCAGGAAGATGAGGAGTTGGCCAAACACTCCGCTAAGCTTTCCGGTCTTGGGCATCATCACTGCCAGGCCTCGCAGAGGCTTCGAGCCAGACAGAAAGAGGAGCCGTAGCTTCGTGACCGGACTCCCGGGCGACTCTCCGGGGCACGGGCCGTAATCGCAAAGTTTGAGGACGCTGTTGTCTGGGCCGCCCCAAAGGAAGTTATCGGGCCTTGCCGGATAACGGCACGACACGGCATCATAGTGGACAGGCACTGAACTCGGAACATGCTATTCCGGGCCCGGCACTTGATGTCCCTGTGGACGATGCCGACTTCCTTATGGCTTGTCCAGGTCTGTTGAGAAGGAAGTTAAAGGAAGATAGAGAGATTGAAAACCATCTGCAGAAACCTGCTGGTTGTGCATGTCGTAGACTGTCGCAACAGTAGCAGGAGCAGCTGCAGGAGCAGCTGCAGGAGCAGCAGCAGCCGTCGAGAAGCAAGGGGGGATGCTGTAGCTGTCTGAGCTGTGGCTACAATTGCAGTCGTCGTCTTCAGGTTGGTTTCTGATGCTATTGTCGCTGAAACATGCTCTGTTCTCGGTTCTTGATCCGTGGGCCGTGATTCACAGAGTGCGACTTCTGCGACATCTTGGACACAATTGTTGATTAGGCAAAGAACTTGTTGAGTCTCACTGGGCAGCTGGTGCAGGTTTACGATTCTCATGCGCGGTCGGGATGCGACCCCATCGAAAACAGGCTGATGATGCCCTGCGCAGATTTGTTCAAAGGATGCGCACTGAGTCGGCCACGTGGGTGTGGAAGACGCCCAGAAGCATGTGTCGAAAGATCTTCGCCAGGTCAGCTTCCGACATTGACTCGGCCTCAACCTCCCATGGTTTAGGGTTGGGGGCCGTTTAGGGCTTGGGTTCAAGCACCTTCTTTCAGCTGAGCCCAAGGCGAGTCTGTCCATGAAGGAGCACTGACCTCAGTAGCAAGGAAAGGCAGCGCCAGGGCGGTGGCTGGGAAACCAGGAACCAGGGGCAGCACACTTCTCGCAGACCATGTAATACAAGGATTTCCTTTGCCATTGTGCGCTGCCAAGATGACAAAGCAGACAAGGACATGCACAGCTCCATGCTTCCAGCAAGTCCCGAAACAGATGCCCAAGGGCCGAGCTCGGCAAAGCTCTTGTAAAGCTTGACCTCGGAAATTGGCAGCCAATCGGAGCCTATTCATGCTTGCCAAGGCTGAGCCGTCTGCGATGTATTCACAGTCGGTCCCGCTGGCCTGGCATCGAAGACTCGAGCAACGGAGGCCTCCCCTAACACATTTGCCCGGACAGCTCAGTAGGCAAGCGATCCTTCGACCAGAGGTCCACCTCTGTTCGGGTGACTCGGTCACGGCTCTTGCTGACGGCGCCGCTGCCTTGCAGGGATTGTACCAACCGTGCCAACCTGCTGAACCTGCTGCATTGTCTCTTCCGCTGCTGCATTCAATCTTAAGAGCGGCACAAGCACCATGTTCATCACGTTCGCGAACATCCACTATCTTCACCGCGAGCTCCTCAAACACAAGAGACGGGCACGGGTACAAATCCGCGGGTCGGCATCTGTCCTTTTGCGAGGACCTGTCGACCACGAGGCGGACCTGTCCAAAGGCGCCTGCAGCATTTTTTCGCGTCCACGAAAGGAGTCGTCCAAGCACCGCCCCTAAGAGCGCCTTCTCCGAGCTTCTTCCCCAGCTTATACTGAGTGAAGAAGTGCCTCAGATGCGCAGGGATACCCAAAACGAGCAAACCAAGCAATATTGTGAGTAGGCGCTCTCCCACACCCCAAAACATTCAGCCAAAACATCCCAGAAAAGACGCCTATGTTTCTGCACTTGGGGATGGATTGAAAAACTGCAAACAGGAACACAAACTTCGAAATATGCAGTCGGGTGGCTCTCCAGACCCGAACCACAATAGACCAAGTTGTCATATGTTGCTGGCTACTTTAGTACTCGTGCGACTTGTCCGAAGTGGTCGAGAATCATTACAGCAAACTCAGCCACAATACCCCTACTACCTATTGGCTGCTTGGGTGGAACCAGAAATGGCTTGCAATTCAGCTCAGCAACCTTTGCCGTTTGGTGGAAGCTGCTTACAAGCTCGATTCTGCAGAAAACCATTGCCAGAACCAATGACAGCACCACGACGACAACTGAAGTACTGCGACTACTGCGACGACTCGACACTACTCCTCTTTTTGTATGGATCTCCGAAGGCATACACCGCAGGCTCAGGCCAGCTCAGGCCCACCAGGCCGGGCCCCGAGCTCGAGCCCTCGTCTTTTGGGCCTAACCTGAGCAAAGCCTGCTGGGGCCTCAGAGAAAACACCAAAACTTAACACGCTCGAAACCTGCGGATAAAGCAAAAAAAAGAAAGGTATCGAAAAGCACCGACAAGCACTGGAAAAGAACGCTAAAGACCGAAATTCAAAACATTTTAACTGTCCGATGAATTGATTCGGCTCTTCGTTTGTCGAAACCCATGCCTGCGTGCATATTTAGAAGGCTGACGGCCCTGTCCTCTGTGCACAACAAGCAGCGCAGAAAAAGCCCAAGCCCGAAACACCCCTTAAGGGGCGTGCTCTTGCGGCGCAGGAGTCGCCGCAGTGCTCCCGCAGCATCCTGGCATCATGTGGTAAGGGCAGCTGTGTCGTGATGCGCAATAACCGTGTCAGATCGTGTCTTTGAGTCTTGCAAACCAGACGGCATCACCCATCAGCAGGCGGCGTTAGGTCTGGACAGCGATTTCAACAGCCAAGATGCAAGCAGAACAAGCTTCGCACTGCACCAGTCCACCAAAAGTACGTGCATCCTACCTAGCTTACTTCAGCAGGTGGAAAGCTTGTGAATCATGGTGCGGCTTACGCCTAGTGTATATGCACAGTGGATTCAGGGAAGCAGGTAATATCGGCAACATGTGGAGCATCATCAGCTTGCATCCGAAGCCAAGACGAGAATCGTTGCAGGATACTGTGGGTTTGAAATGCGAAATCCCACTGTAGCATCGCCCCATGATCTTGTGGTTTGTGGGCAGTCTGTGAGGCATCCTGGATCAGGTTTGCTGTGTTCTGTGCTGTGCGCGGCCGCGACAAGCAACACTCAAGTTGGCCGCACCACGCATGGCATGGCAAGGGTGGCCTTTTGGGGAGTTAATTTGGGATGTCTAAGCACCGTGCGTGCGTCTCTTTACTTTTCAATGGGACGAATTCCATCTTGAGCCTTCTCTTCCATCGATTCTATCGCCTATCCACTGGCTAAGCCCAGCAGAGAGGCCTTTCCACTCCTTGCCCGGCTCGCTGGTCCGGCACCCCACAGCTACTGTAGCTGCCTACGGCTGCCCCCTTCTTCTTTGAGCCTGCACAGTCGGACAGCGGGCCTCTGCCATTGCTCACACCCACCCACCGGTCTGCTGACGTTTCCGTCTGACGCACCGCCGCAGCCGTCACTCTTTTGCAAGCCGCTTTCGTGCCCCTTCACAGAGTTGCCCGCGTGGCAAAAAATGAGAAAGGCTGGGACGTCTGCCGCGGAGTACGCAGCTTACAGCCTGAGTTGATTTCTCGCAGGTACACTGCGGCACACCGGCTGCACAGCTGCTCTCGAACTCTGGCAGTGGCAGGCTCAATTCGGTTTGGACAGTTTGGTGTTGGTAGGTGCTGGTAAATCGTGTGCTGCTGCCAGGAGTCGGCGCTGTCCTATGTACACGAAGACTCTTTTCTGCCCGCAACCGGTCAGGGATATCCCTGGCAGGTCACAAGCACGTCTTCCGGCTGAGCAGCGCTGGCTTCGCCAGGCTCTGCATAGTGACCGTATCACGCTAACCGAGAGGGCTGAGGCCCTTCAGGATGACTGCTTAACCTATCTGGGATCATCGATCTCGTCCTTTCCGTGGCCTGAAACAAGATTGCACAAAGCCAGTTGAAGTCTCTGTTGCTGGAAGCCTGCTGTCCACAGTGGAGGGGCGCAAGCCGCCACTCCGAGCGCTCAGCGGCAGCGCCTGGGCTCTCGATTTGACTCCAAGCTCCCACTTCTGGCAATGACACGTCTCTGCGCACATGACAATTTTTCTGCGCTCTCCATAGGCAAGCAGCTATTCCTGGAATTGGCCGTGTCCCGCCCGCGGGAGCCGTCCCAAGTCGGTCTGGTGCCTCTCACATGTGTTCGACGCCGGGAACATTGAACGCAGAAAGTTCGCATGTTTAATAATGAAGCTGACTAAGCCGTTCCCCGATGCAGTGCCTCGTTGGGTATGTGCTGCAACATCCTGCCACAGCCAGAGTTGTTGCTTGGATGCTTATCCATGCTGATGCACTTGGGCAAATGTCTGAGTCTGCCCGGCACTACAGGTGACGACAGCTAGACAGCAAACGTGATGCGGTGGAGTTCACTTGTCTGTGCTCATGGGCATTACAATTAGGCTTGCCGGCGACACATCTTGGGCAGCTTTGAAGAAACAGTCACCACCGGGGTGACGCCCTGGAGGGCCTCGACTCACAAAAGCAAAAAGGCGCTCTCTGCCTTTCGGCCCGAGACCCTCAAGGCCCTCGCCTTCGAGCTGGATTGGTCCTCGAGCCTTGCCTGGTAAACAAAGCAACAATATACTCGCGCACCAACCTGCCCGATGTATGCAGGGAGCCTGGATCTGTCGCAGCTCTTTCAGATACTCACTGCGTATCTGATCCAGTCTGCCATCGAAGACCTGAGCTCAGAGAAATCGCGGCCGGCAGGCTCCTACTTCGCCTCCAGATCTCTCTCATTGCCAGAGCTGGGCGCCTCTTTGGTGATCCACTTGTTGCCAGCAACAAGCTGCCGTGCAGCCGCTGCAATCATCACCTGAAGCTGCGGAGAGATCTGGCCCCGTAACTTGTTCTCAAACAAGAACTAGAGACAGATCTGCCGCTTTTTTGCTCTGAAGCATTTCACGGCTAACGGCGGTCTTTGGTCTTTGGATGCGCCTCAAGCGGCATCAGACGTTGCAACATGAGAGATACATAGCGTATCACGAGGGCTGGTCCCGAAGAGATCTCGGCCAGTGTCCACGGAATCACTGTTCTCAGTCCCGAGTTCCTTGACTCAAAGTACTGAAAGCCCAGGGCGCCTTGGCCGCCTAGGCCTGCTTGGTCCAAACAACTCCGTTGTTCCAGGTGATTTTGTTGCCATCCAGCTTGCCCTTGAAGCCGAAATAGTCCAGGCCATCCCCTTGGCAAAACTTTCGGACTTCTAGTGTCTGTTTCCCGACGGTTGGGTGGTTGATAACCACCGATTGTCCAGTGCCATCGACGCTGATGTTGATCTCCCCACCAGAGCTGTGCGTCCACTTGCCTTGGGTCTGATAGGGCGAGATGACCGACATGTCCAGCTTTGACAGTGGGCTGGCAGTCTGCAATCTGTTGGGCCAAAACGTATCACGGTTCAACATATCAGCCGAAATGAATTAGATCTTCCTCTACTGGAAGCGCATGATCTCCACCGCGTGCCAGTGCAAACTGATGATCCAGAGTACACCACGAACTGTATGCTTGTGCAGCAAATATCAACGGCTGTACATGACCATGCCCACAGTTAAGCCCACCACCTGTACTCGATTCAACGACAAGGCGGTGCCCTGAAATTGCGTCGAGGGTTCTGGTGGACTGCCATGCACAACATACTCATCACATAGCGGCCTCATCATCCATACCCTCTATGGAGCTGCTCTGGACGTAGACATGCAGCCGGCTGGCCAGCTCGAGATTCTGTTGCCCCTGGCAGTCTCACAGGATCCGACACTCGGAATAAGCATGCGCAACCACAGCTTTTCGGGGATCGCCACTCACTGCAGACGCCTCAGCTTGCCTGGTGCTTTGGGGCACCCGAGCAAACCTTCCCAGGAGCTGAGTGCTTTGCATAGCTCTGTGAAACACTCTCCGATGCTCTGTGGCACCGCTCCGAGACACTCTAAAGTACAGTCAGCTACGCCTCTTTGGGAACACCTGACCTGGCCAAGCAAGCTTCAGCAAGCTCGGGACACGCCAATCTAGAGCTCAGACAGCGCACGCTGCTGCAGCGGCACCTTGGACAAGTTTGTCATCTTCTCGCATCAACTCGCATCATGCGTGCATCCTGAAATTTTTCAATTGAGCTGTGACGAGCCATGGGTTTTTCTTCTTGGTCGCTTGTGCGCAGACCTTACAGAGTGGGGTAGACGGGTTGCATTGTAAACCGTAAACAGCATGCTTGCAATGCAGGTATCTCCATTGTCACTATAGCCGGAGCTGCTACGAATACTAGCTTACTAGCAACAAGTGTGGTCTGTATTCTTAGCATACAGACAGCAGTCGAGTCCGCGCGACGACTCGAGCTCGCACGCGCCGGATGAGCTCTTCCTGCCATGAAGATTCAATCTCACACTCACCCGCACACGAGGACTTCTACGTCTGCCAGGTTTGAATGACGCGCGCCTGATCCTGAATCAAGCGTGCCTCGCAAGAACTACGGACCATGACTGTGCTGGCAGTACCGCATCTCAAAAATACGTAGATCCAGCGCAACTGCTTGCCCTCGTCCAACCTTGTCATGTTCCAGGGCAGCAATGGTCGCCTGCAGCTCCTGGGAAAAACTACTTGATTGCTCTGCGCCCTTTGTTCTTCTCTTGCAGCCTTGTTCTCTCGTTCGGCAGCTTGCAAAGCCTGAATAGGCACAGAAATGCGCGGCGCATCAAGCAGCACATATCACAAGCGCTGCGAACCTGCGATGCTGCGTCCGCACCTGCCAGCCAAACAAGCCAGCCAACCCCAGTATCAATTCCACAGATTCTCGGGGAGTGACGTGGCGAAGCACTTCGCCTTTCCGCAGCATGCTTGGCATGCGCAGCATGTGGACCATGCGATGCATGGGAACCTGAGCAGTAAGAGTGCTCATGTCGCACTCAGAGTCCTCGGGAGCAAGAGTATTTCAACTCTGCGAGGCACTGGGCGTTTGCCGGCTGCAGTCTTCGAGAAAATTCAGCAACTTTGGCCTGCACGGCAGCGGCAGGAGGTGGAAGCATGTGGAAGAGCGGCAGAGCTGTTCGTGGCATCTGTTTCCAGCCTCGTCTGCAGCCATTGGGCTTTCTCCTTCACCAGGGGACAACGGCGAAGATAAACGGGAGGCATTCTACTCTCGATGTGGATTGTCATGGAAGGTGCACAACTCGGGAAACCGAGAAAAGGTGGTGGCACTGAAGCGTCACAGCACAAACCTGAACCGCACCTCCAAGAGCAGGGAGTTCGTCGCTCGAGCCACGGCAAATTCTTCCTTAACGATGCCTGGATAGGGACCACAAAGACTCGTTTCCGAAAGTGGGCAAAGCCGTACAGAAACACGTCACCGCAATCAGGGCCCTGAACGCTCTCTGGCTCTGTGATCTGCAACAAGGCGCTGCAGCTCCTCTGCTCGGAGAGCGGGCAATGGAGAAAGCACATGCTTCTCTTGGTAGGTGTCCTCTTCCGCTCTGGCTAGGCTCTGCGTTTCGAGCTCCATGTCGCCCTGAAAGTACAGTACATCTCATCTCCCAGGCGCATTGAAAAAATCTCGCGTCGCCTTTGCATTCAGCAGTTGGCTTTCCAGTCTGCTGCGGGTCTCCTGCACGGCGAAAACCCCGGCCATGAATTACGATTTGCAGTGTGCAGCTCTGGAAGGCGCCTTCAACTTCGCCGTCTCTTCTCGCCGAGTTGCCCCTGACGTGCCAGCCCCATGCTACGCTGAAACTCGCTAGGCGACTGGCGGCCGCTAGGTGAATAGTCCATAGCCTGCCCTCCACGCTTCTGTCCAGCAGTGACCTGTCCAGGTTTGAGATCAATGGGGCCACTGTCACTATGTGTCGGGCAGTAAGTGGCTCACCCACATGCTTGGCGAGCTTCAGGGTGCTGCCCTCCTGACCACCGGCCCAGGCTATCACAGGGACACGCCCGGTACGAGACGGCTCTTGCACGGCAGTCCTGGCCAGCCGGCAGCGGCCGCACTGCCAGGTCGCGCAGTCGAGCTCTTAACTCACCGTCGGCCTGCGCTCAATTCAAGGCACTTCGGGATCCACCCCGTCACGATCCCAAGCATCGTTCAAGACGTGCGCGGTTATTTCTTGCCCGTGCCACGCACGCGTGCAAGCAAGATGCAGCCAGATGCGCAGATCTTCACGCCTTCTGGTTGATGCTTGTCATGAACACAGGCCCGGCTGCGAAGGTTGGCCAAACCTGCTTGAAAGCCTTGCACCCGGCGGCCGCGAAGAGACGTCTCAAACATGCGGAATGCCGGGAGGATGTGAGATGCTGCGATTCTGCGGCGTGCTCGAGAGCTTGTTGCAGGAAACCAGCGGAAGCCTACTGTTCACTTCACAGGCTTGGTGCTGTGAAGCGTCGGGCACGTCGTGACCACAGCACAATGTGTCCCAAGACACAGAGTGATGCCGTTTCGAGAAGGGGTCGTATCCTCTCGGAGCAACCAGTACAAGCTTCAGGTCCGTGATCGCTGTACACTCCCAGCAGATCAGGTAAACACGAGAGACAGTACATGCCAGAAGCCTTTGCCGCTTCAGCTTAGAATCTCAGGCTGCAGTGGTGGTTTCTGAACGAAGATGGTCTCAGCGATGAGCCGATGGAACGCAAATTACGGGTCGCGGCTTCGACTATCTGGCGACCAGACGGGCAAACTTGGTGGTTCTGTTGATTCGTCCGTACTCTGGGCGAGAGAAAAGAACCGCCATCGCTGGGATTTGGGGCACCTGCAGCTGCCGGGCTTACGAATCTTCCAGGACAATCATGGACAGTCAGGCTGATCGCGCCAGCATCGCGCCATAGAACTGCTAGGGCATGCTCGAATGCACAATCACAGGAACACAACCCAAAATCACCTGCAAGCATCATTGCCGCCTGCCGCCGCTGACGTTCTTGCTCCTGTTTCTCTCGGAGGGTCGCACGCCAGCGCGCAGCCTCATGGCATCAAGCTACGCCCACCTTGCAAACTCCAAGCAGAAACAAAGGGAAGAGGCATGCCTGCCTCTGTCTGGAAATGCTCAATGGCATTTTGGCTGCCAGCCACCTGCATCGAGGGTCCGTGCATACTTTGGATGCTTCTGCTCGGAATGCAGGGCGGCACCAGGTTGTACATTTATGCGGCACTCGATGCAAGAAGATCTGCTGCGGTGAAGCACAACCACAAAGCAGGGCCTCAGAGACGCAGTTTAGGTACTCCTGACCAAGCCGTGACCACCCAGAATGCTCTGGCGGTGCAACACATGCACATCTGCAGCACATCAACCCGGTCTGCCCATGATGATAAACTTTGGAAACTCTGGAGTCCTGTCGCATGCGCGCGATTCGAGCCCGCAGCCTGCACCAAGATTACTGGAACACCACTGGCGAAGTCTTACAATCATGCAAAAAATGGCACATGTACTACGGAGTTGAAGAAAAGCCTTGTCGACTTTCTCCTCTCGTCTGCAGCCTCTACAGCACAATAGCCCTGCAGCGAAGCCAAGACCAAGGAAGGAACTTTAAACGAATAAAGGTGCCTTAGACTCAGCGTGTTTGAGGTCATGATCGAGGCAGGCCTTCGACAAGTGCCCATATGCCCACAGACTTGAAAAGTTGACAACGACCCTGAGTTTCTGAGCTGAGGTGTCAACAATCCGCTCCAGCAGCTCCTCCTCCTGCCGGGCCACTCAGAGGCTCAGGATGGCTCCAGCTTTCCCACGACGCAGGAATGACGACTCCGACTCAAACCGCGAAATCGACGTCCCAGCGAAGCCTTCCCTCCACAGACAACGGGGACTTAGCACGTGCTCGAATTTTGGCTTTCAGCTCCAGGACCGGCCGTAGTTACAACAAGGAGGCAGCGGACGCCACCAACAACACCCCTCACCGGTTGCGCGGGATTTGTGCTCGGAGATACCTCGGCAAGAGGCCTGCTCGGCCACTCGCATCAAGCCTCGTTTATAGCCTTCAACATCCTGTGCTTGTAGTAGGTTTCGGCTTCCATGATGAGGAAGACCGCAGCCGCCGCTGCTGCTGCTACTCTTGGCATCTGAGTCACCTGAATGCCACATCCCCGCCAGGAGAGCCTCTGCAAACAATACAAAGCCGGGTCAGTGAGGCGGTGTGCCATGTGGCGCAGCAGGGAGTCCCCAACATGTCTTTCTAATCTGCACCTAAACACTGACTGCCCCTGCAATCATTTCAGTTTGTGACCTTGCTAACTTGCTCGTCCAAACAAACACTTCACAAAGACAACTCTGCCAGCACTTCCCACAGCAGGACTGGATGCGTACCACTTCGCAGATTGAAACGGCTGGGGTGTCCGACATCAGTTTGTCAACACCGTCCGGACCTGAGAAGCTTGAAGAGGTTCCTCTTGCTCGATCGGCCTTAAGCGACTCGTCCGGTTTTGAAGCTTTCGTGACCTCTTTGGGCAGGCTAGGTACCGGAACGCTACCAGTGCAGCTGCAGAGGAGCTCGATGTTGACCTAATGCCGTCCAACTGGGAACACCAGCTTAAAGCCAGAAGCTAGAATCAGCTGGAAGCTCCGGTGCTGCATCTCCGCCCTTGGCCTCACGCTTCTGTAGCTGCGCCTGGAGCTCCAGGCGCAGCGTTAGAAGAAAGGGATCTTTCCAAATCACATCCGAGCTTCTGGGCCTCCAGGTTCCGCACACGGGCCTCCGAAGACTCCACGGCCTTCCAAAGCCGACGCGCTCGACCTGAGATGAAAACTCCTCTCAACACAGCTGCTTTC